TGCGCGCGCAGGCCCGCGGCTCCCACGCTCCCCCTCGGCGGAGCGCCGTGCACACGCCCTCGCCCCTGCGCCCGGCAGGCAGAGGCCGGAGGACGCGTGGGAGTTCGAGGCCAGCCACGGCTACGTGGGGGCACCTGCTACAAAACACAACACCCCAAGCAACTTCCGTCGTAGTTTATGAGCTTGCGCACCGGAAACAATCTCGTGTAAAAAAAAAAAAAAAATCTAAGTGCGAAGATTAGTGATGGGCCGTGGCCACCCCGTGTGCTGCGGCAGTCCCGGGCAGGCTCCTCAGTGGCCGCTCCGCTGGGTAGGCGTGGTCGTGAGCTTTAGGAAGAAATTAGTAAATGCCTTTCTCCCCACGTTTTTGAACGGTACATCGGTTTTCCTCACCACTTCTATAGAGGATATTTTAGTTTTCTTACTTCAGACATTAGTATTTTGACCGTGCGTTGTGGCCTGTCATTTCTGTGCCTTGCGAGGCTGAGGCAGGAGGACTACTGCGAAGCCAGCGAGGAGCGCGGCGAGACCTTCTGGGAGGGGTTTGGAGGGATGGGTTAGAGGGGGAGCAAATCGAGGGGAAGTTTTAACAGGCAGCTCCACCTAGTGGAAAATGTAGCATGAAGCGCACCGTTTCTTTTACAAGCGCTTATTAGACCCCTTTGAAAATTACGAATAAGTCAGAGACATGATTTATATTCCTGTAAAATTTCTATGGTGAATTCCCTAAAACAAATTTTCTTATATTACACAGTAGAATTGTTGAAGTCAGAAGATTATCGCTGATAACATCCATTGTTTTTGACTAATGACTTAGAGAAATTTTTTTCTGGTGTAATCCAGGACCAGTTATTGCATTTGGTTAACATTTTTTTTATTATTAATTTAGTTAAAATAATTTTCATATAGGTGTCTATGTGTGTGTTCAGGTACACAGTCTCCTGCGCCCTGCCCCTTGTTTTCTTCTTCCAATAAAAGAAGGAAAGAAATTTCATTTTGTTTGTTTTTCATGAGCTAGGTCTCATGTAGCTGAGGCTGACCTTGAACTCTGGATACAGTTCTGTTGTGGAATATTACTTTAACTATGTAAAGATATGTTACATTTGTTTTTGTTATGGAATATTACTTTAACTATGTAAAGGTGTGTTACATTTATGTTGAGGAATGTTACTTTAACTATGTAAAGGTGTGTTACATTTGTTTATGTTGTGGAATGTTACTTTAACTATGTAAAGGTGTGTTGCATTTGTTTATGCTGCATTTTATTTTTTTCCGAGACAAGGTTTCTCTGTAGTTTTGGTACCTGTCCTGGATCTCAATTTGTAGACCAGGCAGGCCTCAAACTCACAGAGATCCGCCTGGCTCTGCCTCCCACGTGCTGGGATTAAAGGCGTGCGCCACCACTGCCTGGCTGCATTTGTTTAACTATGTAAAGATGTGCTGCTGTTTCACCTTGCCTGCCTAAGGCTCCTGACTGGTCTAATAAAAAGCTGAACAGGCAGTAGCTGGGCAGTAGAAGGACATGCGGGGCTGTTGGGCAGGGAGAATAAGTAGAAGAAAGAGAGGGGGAGAAAGGGAGAAAGGGAGAAAGAGGGAGACGCTGGGAGCCAGCCAGCAGCCAGCCATGGAGGAAGCAGGAAAGTAGGACATACCCTCAGCAGAACCATCTGTTGGGAGGTTTTTTATTGTTGTTTTATTTTCTAAAGATTTATTTACCTTTTTGTTTTGTTTTGTTTTTCGAGATATGGTTTCTCTGCATAGCCCTAGCTGTCCTGGAACTCACTTTGTAGACCAGGCTGGCCTTGAACGCACAAAGATGTGCCTGCCTCTGCCTCCCCAGTTCTGGCATTAAAAGCATTATTTATTTACTTTCATTTTATGTAAGTGTTTTGCCTTCATGTATGTATGTTTTGAGTCCCCTGAAGTGAGCTACAGTTGTGCCATGTTGGTGCTGGGAGTTGAACCCAGGTCCTCTGGAAGAGCAATCAGTGCTCTTAACCACTGAGCCATCTCTCCAGTCCCCTCCCCCAATGCCTGCTATCAATTCTTAACATTAAGTGCTAGTTTTGAATTACTTGTTCCCCCCCCCCCCTTCTTTTCGAGATAGGGTTTCTCTGAGTAATCCTGCCTATCTTGGAACTCACTCTGTAGACTAGGCTGGCCTCAAACTCAGATCCACCTATCTCTGCCTCCTGCATGCTGGGATTGCTTATTTTGAATGACAAGACTTAAAATGTTTTTGCTTAAGATATATTGTCATTCACCCTTTTGTAGTGGGAGAAAGTAGCTGCTTTTTCAGGGAGAAAAAGCTAGAAAATAATCTCATTAACATCCCTTCCCCTTCATAGGACAAGTTGCCAAAAGGTAAAAATGTGTGTACCCTTTTTTTTTTTTTTTTTTTTTTTGACACAGGGTTTCTCTGTGCAGTGCTGGCTGTCCTGGAACTTGCTGTCTCTAGACCAGGCTGGCCTTGAACTCACAGAGATCTGCCTGCCTCTGCCTCCCAAGTGCTGGGATTAAAGGTGTGCACCACCATCGTCTGGTGTTTGTACCTTCTTAACCGTATTCATGTCTGTGATAGCAAGTTTGAGGATTTCAGAAGCAGGCGTGAGTTGCAGCTTCATGTTTCGAGTCCAGAGCCTGCAGCTCCACCCCTCCCCCTGTGCCTTCAACATTAGCTCAGTCTAGGTCTCTCCAGAGCCTACAGTCACCCTGCAAGGAGGTGAGGTGGCCGTAGGTGCTTACGCTGGAGTGAGAAGCTGTGTTCGTAGTTTACAGTGATGTGTCCACGGTGTTTACTGTTTAGTTAGCAGAGGAAGGTACAGGATGAAGGACAGTTGCTACTGTCACTGGAGAGCAGGAATGAATGAGGTGGACAGCGCCGGCAGGTGCCGTGCATGTTCTGGGTGCTCCAGCGACACAAGAAGGGAGTTGGTTTTTCTGGTGCTCTTGTTATCAAGGCAAGGACTTTGCCTGTGGTAGAGGGGCTGTGGACCCCCAGAGGTGGTTATAGGAAATTCAATGGAAATGTACAGTTGGTTCCACACTCTCTAGAGGGGTTTTCATCATATACGAAAGGGAATAGACACCCTCAGTAGTTCAACCCACTCAGTGAGCTGCAGACAGGAGGTTCTGGAAGTCCATCCAAAGGACAGCAGACCAGGGTTAGAGCCCTGAGTTCCGGTCCTGGGCCTCCCAGCAGCTTCCCTAGAGAGTTGGCTTTTCCTCAGTGGCACATGCTGGAACTCTGTAGCATCTGAGGAGGCCAGTGGCAATAGTAGGTTTAGTTGTAGCTGTTAGAAACCAGAGTTGCTGAGCTGTGGTGTCTGAGGCAGCACTCGGGTGGAGACAGGACAACAGCCATTTTCTTTTGAACAGCCCACACAGAGTTTGCCTATCTTTAAAAAAATTTTTTTTTTTCAAGACAGAGTTTCTTTGTGTACCTCTGGCTGTCCTGGAACTCACTCTGTAGCCCAGGCTGGCCTCAAACTCACAGAGATCCGCCTGTCTCAGCCTCCTGAGTGCTGGGATTAAAGACGTGTGCCACCACCACCCGGCTGAGTTTGCCTGTCTTTTGAGAGTAAAGGATGAGAGACGGCTAGAATTTGTTACCCTGGAGACTTTCTTTCTATATTGCTTCCTAAAGAGGCATAAGTTTGTGGAAAGAGTTTAGATAAATGCTGGCCCTTTCAGACAAGAAATATGTTTTCTTCCCAGTCTTCAGGTGCACAGTGGCTGACAGCCGAGGAGAGGAACCAACTCATTCCTGGCTTGAAAGCAGCAGGATGGTCGGAATTAAGTGAGAGAGATGCCATCTACAAAGAGTTCATCTTCAAAAATTTTAATCAGGTAATTCCTGGGAATGACTGATGTGCCAGGTTCTGTTTTTGTCAACGGCCCTGTTAGGTTTCTGTGACTACTGCTTGTCTGGTCCTATGTGGACTAGGAGTCACACCCTCTCTTCCTTATGAGTTCAGTGACAGAGACAGTCCCTGCTGACTCAGGCAGGCCTAGCTCTGGGGGAAGGGTTGATTCTGTGATACTTAGAAATCAGCACTGTGTGGCGGTACACACCTGTAATCCTAGTGTTTGGGAAACTGAGACAGGATTGTGAATTCAGGGTTAGCCTGGACTACATGTGAGTTCCAGCCTGACCTAAATCGCAAGACCTTGTTCAACGCGTGCGCACACTATAGCTTTAATTTGGAGTTGGGTAAAGTATTTAGTCTTTTTCTGTATTTTAAATAACACTAAATGAGGATGTGCGCATTTTCCTGTAGATTAGAAGGGTGTGTGGAGAGGCCAGCTGAGAAACACAACCTGCTTGCTTTCTCTACTTTTTCAGGGCACTTAAAAAAAATCTCATAGTTGTATTTTTGCCTCTCCACCCTCTCCTAAGCTGTATCTCTTCCCAGTTCCTGCTCCCCTATCCAGCCCTTGAACATTTTCTCCAAATCTGACCTCCCCCTGGAGACTCAGCCTTCCCAGGTAACCGTTCCACTCGGGCCCCACCCTGTTCAGAGAGTCATCTCCCATGACTTAGCCTTCAGGGTTACTCCACTGCGCTTGTGTCAGGTCAGTGCTTCTGACTAGCTCGTGTTTGCTCAGTTACTGTAGTAATCCTTTGGACGGATCTATTGTTTTTATTTATGTTAGGTGTTGGCATCCAGGAGTCAGGGAGCATGTTTGCTTAACTCCATTGTACCCAGCATGGTTCTGAGTACAAACAGGCATTGATTACAGCGTAGACATTGATTACAGTGTTTGCTGGTTTCCACAAGGGTGTGCAAGCACCGGATTCCCACCGAAGGAACCCTTGGCATGTGTTCCTGGTAAATGCCATTGGCTCTGCTTCGTTGCCTGCCCTGGTCTGTTTGTCTGTCATCTGGCTGCCAGCCATTTGCTGTAAGTCCCCAACTCCTGAGAAAACCTGGACCAAACCGACTCCCTGTTCCCGCTGCCTCGCGTGCTTGCAGCCCTGGTCAGGGACTCAGCACTCCGTGGCTGGCGGCAGGGCATCTCGTGGGTACAGTCAGCTCTGCATAGCTCCAGGTAGCCTTTTCCAAGCTTATTAAAATTCTTACTGTGTACAGCTTGACTTCTTTAAGCCTGGGCTAATTTATTGGCCTTGAACATGTGGCTTAAAGTGCTAGAGTGGTGTTGCCTCAGGCTGTGTCCTGAGTTGGTCCTCCAGCACTGCTGCGGCCTGGGGGGGGGGGGCAGCTCTGCAAAAGGCATCCTGGAGCACCCGTGCCGCTGCTCACCATGACGTTTCCCTCCAGTGTTTAGGAAGGGGAACCAGCATCAACATGATATCCTGGCCTTACCTCTCAGCAGGCCCTGTGACTTCTACCTGGATAGTGGCCTGTGCTGGCACTGGTGTCATGACCAGCTATCACTGCCCACACACAACCAGAACACACCCGTAGCTAACAAGTTGGGCGCCATTGCTCATTGCAGAGAGGGAGGACACACTGTGCTGATCGATCTCAGGAGGACAGCGTGGAAGACCTGGTGGTGAAATTCTGCTTGCTCTAACTAGCAGATTTGGAATGTTCTGAGGAGCCAGCTTTGCCCTTGATGGGGTATTGTCAGAAAAAAGGGCAGGTCTGTGATTCAGCACTTTATGAATCTCGCCTTTAGGGCGATTAGACAGAGAAGGAGCCAGGGCTAAACAGAGAAAGAAGAGGAAGAAGCATTAGCCAGTAAGCAGTGGCGTTCAGTGTGCGGCACTGAGCCCGCACGCCTGTCTGTGTGCAGAGATCAGAGATCGTCATAGAGTTCACTGCTTTTCCTAATTCATGGTGGTTGCAGGACGGCCCTGTTGTTGATGCTGTGTTCAAGAGGGGGGTACCTGCTGGTGTGGTGCTAATCTGTAGTCCTAGCACTTAGGATACTGAGGCAGGAAGACCACAGTGTGAGGTCAGCTTGGGCTATGACGAGGGTCTCTGACCCAAAGAATAAACCAGACCATGGGCTGGCGAGATGGCTCAGCAGGTAAAGGCACTTGCTGTTAACCCTGATGACCTGAGTTCAGTCCCCAGGAATCACATGGTGGAAGAAGAGAAACACTCCCTAAAGTTGTTCCCTTGCACTGTAGCGCACACACACACACACACACACACACACACACACACACACACACTAAATAAAATAACAACAACAAAACCTTAAAAAAAGAATACACCAAGGCAAGAAAGAGGAGAACCCCAGCTCCCAGGCACAGCAGCTGCCTTCCTTCTGCTTCAGCCCAAGAGCAAGCCAGCAATGCTGACGGCCTCACTCACCTTCATCATTTTTTTCGACAGGGTTTCTCTGTGTAGTTTTGGTGCCTGTCCTGGAACTCACTCTGTAGACCAGGCTGGCCTCGAACTTGCAGAGATCCTCCTGGCTCTGCCTCCCAAGTGCTGGGATTTTAGGCGTATGCACCACTGCCCAGCCAATCTTTGAGTTTTACAAGTAACACTCCTTAATTCTCTGTGTACTTAAGCACTGTCTCTATGGTTGGCATTACTCTAAGCTTGGGAACCTCCCAGTCCAGTGGAGAAAACAGATGCTAAGCAGAGGAGTAGGAGATGTGGTCTGAGCTCATGGAGGGCTCCGAGAAAAACTAGACCGGATGTTGAATAAAGGGCAAAGACCAAGGCATTGTTTTTTTTCTGCTGGGGTTTGAACCTAGGACCCTGAACATGGAGGGCTTATGCTCTGCCACTGAACTACCCCACCAGCCCAGGAGGGGAGGCCATCTTTAAGATCACATAGTCTCTCTGGGGAGATTGATTGACATGCAAGGGCTTAGTATGTGAGGATCCATGGAAAGAACATTCCAGGTGGAGAAGACAGATTTCCTCATACAAAATAATCTCCAACGATGGGATGAGAACCAGAAGGTTAGTGTTCTAGAGTGGATAGAGAGAAGACAGGGCTCTGGGACCTTGTTGGCTTTGTTCTACAAAGGACAGATGACAGAAGATTGCAAGTACAGAGACTTGGCTTTTGTTTTAAAACAAACAACAACAACAACACTTGCTCCAGTGCCTCTGCAAGGATCAGTGGAAAGACGGAAAGTGGAAGCAGGCTAACTGCCTGGACTCGGGAGGAATGGTCCAAGCCAGAGGCAGAGAGTGGACGCAGCAGAGGAGCTGGAGAGAAGTGGGCAGGGCGATTTCCTGTAGGTTTGAAGATGGATATCAAGACTGTGTAAAGAGCAGGGGCTGTAGCCAGTGGTCCAGTTGCCTGCCTGGCATGCACAAGGCCCTGGGGTCCATCCCAGCACCACACACATATAGGAAAGAGAGAGAGAGACTTGCAGATGGATTTGATGTGGGGTGAGGGTGAGAAGGTCTTAAGGATGACCCCAAGGTTTTGGTTCAAGATGTAAGATGGAGGAGGATGTGACTGGTGCCTCATGCTGAGCTGCAAAGTCCGGGTATGGCGGAGCAGGGGAAGGGACTAAGAGCCTGTTGTGTTGTGTACACATCAGGGGTGAGACACTGTCGTTCAGTTGGAGAAACCAGTCATGAGGTCAGAACTCAGCTGAGATGACAGTTTGAGAATTACCAGAGGTTTAGTGGTGAAAGCAGGTCCAGGTTAGCAAGAGGAATAGGATCGGGGTGGCCGTGCAGGCACAGGGCCACTTTGTCATTGCATTAGGAAGGACGTTCATCCTAAGAAGACACAGCTCTCTTCTGATTGTGTCTGTTCTTTTGGTGAGGCCTTTGACTGCTAGCAAGAGGCATTGGAGGTCTAGGGAGATAACAAAAGGAAGAGTCACCTTGGAGCTTAAGGTAATGACTAACTAAGGAGAGGTGGCTGGTGCTGGGACATTTGTAGTGCCATTAAAGATTATGGTGTGTTGCCAGACACTTTTCTCTGTCCTACCCCAGTCCCACGGTCCTGTGGTCCTGCAGCTGCTTTTAAAATAATCACTTAGAGGCTTAATATTAATTACAAACTGTTTGGTCTATGGTTCAGGCTTATTGGTAGATAGCTCTTACATCTTAAATTAGCCCATTTCTATTAATCTATATTTTGCCACATGGCTGTGGCATTATTGGCCTGCTGGCATCTTGTTCCTTGGGCAGCAGGATGGCATCTCCTTGACTCCACCCTCTTCTCCCTGTATGTCTGCTTGGATTTCCCACTGGCTCTATTCTGCCTTGCCATAGGCCAAAGCAGCTTTATTTATTGACCAATGGGAGCAACACATATTCAGAGTATGGAAAGACACCCCACAGCAATGGTGCAGCTTTCAAAGTGAAGATTTTGTTTTATCCAGCTGTGTTCAGCTGCATGGACACAGGCTTGGAGTAGATACTGGGTTGGGCTGAAAAAAAAAAAAGACAGCTGAATTTTGTGCAAACAAGTACCATGGAGTAATAGAAGGGCAAGGGAAATAAAGATGGGTATAAACTGTTGGCCCTTGCAGTCCAGGCTGCTGAGACTTGCAGTAGTGAAGAGGAGATGGATGCAAAGAGCTGGGAGCTGAGAGAATCTTTCTGGAGCATATGGTAGTTAACCTTGTCAGTTTTTAAAAATTATATTCTATTTAGTGTGTGTGTGAGGGGTTGGGCATGCATACACTATGAGACGTGTGTGTGTGTGGGGGGGGTGGGCATGCATATACTATGAGACTTGTGTGTGTGTGGGTGGGGGTGGGCATGCATATACTATGAGACGTGTGTGTGGTATGGTGGGCATGCATACACTATGAGACATGTGTGTGTGGGGGTGGGGGTGGGCATGCATATACTATGAGACGTGTGTGTCCCTCAAAGCTATGTGGGCCTGTACTGTTTTTGCTGTTCTCAGGTATGTGTGTGTGTGTATGTGTATGTGTGTATGTGTATGTGTGTGTTGCATGTATGAGGAGTGAGTGTATCCATGTACCGCACAGGCAAAGGCTAAATTAGGAAGTGATGTCTTTCTCTTTTTCTGTCTTGTTGTCTGAGACAGGGTCTCTCACTGAACTGGACCCCTGGCATTGGACTAGGCTGGCTGGGGCCAGAGGGTTCTTGGGAGCCGCCTGTCTTCCCATCTGTCTCAGTGCTGGAGTCACAGGCATCAGCAGCCACGCCCTGCCTCTCAGCTTCCATGAGACTCTGTCTCGGGAAGTGAGGTAGAGAGAGAGAGAGATTGGAATCCTTGCTTTAACTTTGTATGTGTGTTCATGGACGCACCCACATCACACACCACACACATACACCATACACACATGCTCACACACTCCCCTGAGGTTTTGATGCTTGCCTAGTAAGTGCTCTTATCCACTGAGACATCTCCCTAGCCTCCATTTTTCAACGTTTATATTTTAACAAACATTTTATTCATTATTATTATTTTTTTAGGCAGGAGGATCTCACCAGGTAGCTTAGGCTAGCCCCAGACTTTTAATCTTTCTGTCTTAGCTGCCTGATGCCCAGGTTCTAGGATTTTGCAGGTGTGCAACACTTATGTCCAGCCATTTATTTTGTTCTTTAAATAGTCTTTTCATTTTTATTATGTAAAGTCTTTTTTTTAAAAGACTTATTTTTGTTTTCTATGTATCAGTGTTTTGGCTGCATGTATGTCTGTGCACCACATGTGTGTGCAGTCTGGCCTGCAGAGGCCAGAGGAGGGCTATGGATCCCCTGGAACTGGCGTTACAGATGATTGTTAGCCACCATGTAGGTGCTGAGAATCGAACCCGGTTCTCTGGAGGAAGAGCCAGTGCTCTTAACTGCTGAATGCCTGGCGCCCCACGAGGTCTTTCACCAGGTGCAGCCTGTAATCCCAGTAAGCGGGGAGCTGGAAGCAGAAGGATCAAGACCAGCCTGGGTCACATGGAGCTGTCTCAAAACAATAAATAAAACAAAGCCTTTCAGGATTACACTTGCTTGAATGTTACAGTTTTTAAGTGGCTTGCTTATTAGTGTGTGTCAAGTGGTATCACAAGCTTTATTCTTTGCTTCATTTGCTGCTGTAGAAAATGAGTGATTTTGCCTTGGATGAAAACCTGTTCTAAGCTCAGGGCTCTTTCAGGCTTTGTTAGAGTAATAAGTATCGAGCAGAATACATTTGATCTTATTTTCCCAAAGGGGTTTTATTCTAAAATGTGGTTAGTTCCATATAATATAAATTCATTTGATATTTTAAATGGGTATAAATACTTGCTAATCGTAAATGTGAAAATTCCTGGATTCTCTGGTACAGGTTGGTGAAGTGGCCGTAGGTGTCCGTCATTGTAGCCTCTGCCCTTAGTGGTGGTCTGTCAGCTCTGCAGTTCCTGTGGGTGGGCAGTGTGATGGCGCTAGATAGCCACACTTGGAGGCTTTGTTCTCAAGATGCTCAGAGTGCTTGGACTCAGCCAGGGCAGGGCTGGCATTTGCAAAGGAGTTTTTCTTTCCTGCTCATGTAGACAGGAGGAGGGGGAGGCTGTAATGGACATGACTTTACTGTCAGGGTCTGAAAGAAGAAAAATGTCACTTAGAAATGTAGGTGTGTGTTCCATGGTGAGAAACTGGTATGAATGAATGGGGTGAGCAGGAAGCTTCCAAAGGGAGGACATTGTAAGTTTCAGAAGTCAGTCCATGAGGTTCTAGAGCCCAGGAAGCAGCTTCCCCAGGGCCAGCAGGCAGAGTTGACCGGGAGGGACCCAGACCGGCCCTGGGAAGACTGGCCATTCTCTCATTCTCGGGTGTCTGGGGCCAGCCACCCTGTAGGTTGGAACACACTCAGGGCTGGGCGTGGGTAAGCAGTGTGGCTAGGCACTGCACCTGTCTTGGTGCCTTTGGGCATGTGAGGGCTTCTAGGTGGAGGCCTTGAGGGGTTTCCTTCTGGTGAAAATGGGGCCCTGATGTGATTAAATCGCTAGCCACCCACGGAATCAGCTTAATGATCAAAGGAATTTAGGGGTAAACTCATAACCACGGGAGATTTATCATAGGGTCCGGGGAAAGCTGAGCTGAACAGCTTGGTCCAAGATCTCAGCATCCAAAACTCGAGGTAGCCAGGAGAGAGCTGCTTACATGCATCCCAGGTCTTAAGGGTCCCCCAGTAGCCACACCCCAGGGACATGTACCTCAAGGTCATAGGCAGGTGTAACTGTTACTAGGGGCGGTGCTTCAGGGCATGGCTCAAACAGCTGTCCACTACAGGGCCCAAGCTCTGTGAGCAGCTGTATCCCCTGAGTTCCTGGAGGAGGTCCTCTGTCTCTTTGACCCTGCTTTCTCAGTGGCCAGCCAGCCAGAGCATTGGTTTCCTGAGATTGAACTGCATGAACTGGCTTGTCCTAGCTTTCCCTTCCAAAGGGGATGCTTTCATGTGGTCTAATCTAGCAGCCAGGACAGTTTTTTTCAAGGCAGGAATGAGCTTCATTTGTTCTCTTGTTTATTCCTCTCACTTGCCTTTGTAACTGTGGCCTTTGGAAGTTCGCTGGAGCTGGAGAGAGAGTGAGGGTATCCAGTGAGTGACTGGCTCGTGGTAGGCGTGTTCTCTGTGGTGGTGGTGTTGGGGGCCCCCAGTATGGTTTGGAGGTTTGTAAAATGTGTCTCTTGTTGGGCCAAAGAGATGGCACAAGTGTAGCTGGAGATCCTGGGGCTCACTTGTTTTTTTGAGACAGGGTGTCTCTGTGTAACAGTCCTGGCTGTGCTGGAACTTTCTTTGTAGACCAGGCTGGCCTTGAACTCACAGAGATCCACCTGCCTCTGCCTCCCGAGTGCTGGGATTAAAGGCATGCGCCACCATGCCTGGTGTCAGTGGGAGTCTTAACAGTCCTCTGCAGGATTTTAGTGGTGGCCTCGGCTGCTAGCATGTGGACAGATTAGTTGTTTGTTCTTTGTTGTACACGTCTGAGTTATGAGTCAGCTATTATACTTAAGAGAGGATTCTGATGTTGACAGTAGCCACCCTCGACCCCGTCTCCCGCTCTCAGCCCCCAAGATGATGTGCCCATATAGAAGGTGTCATTTTGTTTGCAAGTATATCCTAGTGCTTGTGTTTCTGTCACAGGATAAGCAAAACATCTGTGGCTGTCACAGATGCTTCTTTTGTTTAATGTGCCCAGTGATGGCTTTTGTGACCATAGTAGACTAGAAGCCAGAAAGTGTCCTTTGGGACTGGCTCAGTTGTTAAGAGCACATATTGCTCTCATAGAGGACCTGATTTTAGTTCCCACGTAAGGAAGCTCACAACCACCGGTAACTCTAGCTCCAAGGGGTCTGATGCCCTCTTCTGGCCTCCACAGGCACTGCACTTACATGTGTGCATATGCACAAACAGACACCCACACTTCACTTTATCTAAAAGTGAAGAATAAAGGCATCATTAGTTTTCCTTGGAGAATAGAGATGGCTGCACTTTAGCCAACGTTACCTAAGACCCCGTAGGCCAAAAGAAGGGTCTGTGCCGCCTGTTGGCGTTCACATTGGAGTTTCCTCTGCAGTTTCAGGGCGTCTGTCTGATGCTCTCAGGTAGTGGCTGAAATGCTAGTGTTGCTGTCCACCAAGAAAGGGAAGTTAGAGCCTCCAGGGTTGTCACTGGGCTCTCGATTCTGCTGCTTGTATCATAAACAGGCGTAGAGCTCATGTGCATTACCCAAAGCGCACAGGCTGGATGAAGGTAAATGTAAACCAGGTGTCAGCAAGGTAACTCTGATGCCACTCAGGGTAAAACACTGTGGTCACCATGCCTCCTTTTAATAAAAATGGACTTTTAACTGCATCAGTTTTTCTTAGTCATGCAGTAAATCTTATGTTTACAGAAATTAGCCTGAGCATTTTATAAAAGTCAAATAGCCAAGAAATATAATTTCCTCAACAGTGTTTGTCTTGCCCTCTTACAGATGGCATAAAATCAGGTGTGTGGAAAATAAGAAAGCAATCTGAGCTGATGAGAAGGGCCTTCAGATTTATGCTTTGCAGATACTGCTGTGATTAATGCATTCACTGCTTTGTTATTGCTTTCACAGATAATGTCCACGCTGCCTGGAAAATGCTAGGAGTTTAAACTCTGCCAGGTTTAGACTCTTACCATCAGCAGATGTTCATTTATAAATACCGTAATTATTATCAAATAAAAATCACTGTGAAATTCATTGACATAAATTTCATTTCTGTGCATTGTTTTCCTTAGTGTGAATGAAATTAGTGTACCTACGTGTAGCATTTAGGGTTTGTGAAGTACTTGAAGTGAGGTGAACGGGATAGAGTAGGCACAAGTGGATGGCTTTATGTTTAACTGACAAGAAAATAATACTCAAGAGTTAGGGAATTATGGAGGCCTTTGTTTTCAGCCGGTGTTGCTGGAGCTGCTTGAGTGCATTGGGAATGAGTGGGGACCCATGGGCTGCTCAGTAACTGCAGACGATGATAGAAGGAGACCTGACGTGCTGCCTGGGCAGTCTTTGGGCCTGCTCTCCTCCACTGCAGTGGTCTTTGGGTTGACAGTGAGCTTTGACCCTGGGATTCTGGTCCGTGAGAACTGGGACAGAAACGTGGATTCCTGTGTTTCAGAACGTGGAGGTAGGGTGCTGGTGAAGTAGCTGTGCACTTTGTAGCCACAGTACAGAGCTGTGTCTGCATTCTGGTCGGTTGGGCTGTGGCTGATGGCTGACTTGGTCCCCTGGTGTTGACAGGTAGGGGAGACTCTTCTCTGGCTTTGGCCATTCTCGGTTCTCTTCCTTTTGCTATGCCCTTTCAGATTTGCTTGCTTTAAAAATTGTGTGTGTATGAGTGTTTTGCCTACACATGTATCTATTTTCATACCATGCATGCCTGGTGCTTGCAGACCTCGGAAGAGGGCCACAGATCTCCTGGAACTGTCGTTGCAGATGGCAGTGAGCTGTGAACTACCATGTGAGTGCCGGGAACTGAACGCGGTCCTCTGGCAAGAGCAGCCAGTGCCTACCTCTCCAGCCTGCGCTGTCCGGAGCACTGGTGTCCCGTCCTTACCTCACACGGCCTGTCTGATGTAGACGAGAACAGGACTTGCTAACTCAGTCATGGAATCTTACAGGATGACACTGAGCCAAGTTGAGGTTGTGGGATGGCTTGTCACGCTGGGTCCTGTCACAGTAGGTGCCAGACTCACATCTCTGGCACCAGCAGCAGGGTTTTCAGAGCCTCCTTTTTGTTGCTGTGGTCATTTTCTAGCAGGGAGCTTGTTTTCCAAGGACAACCTGTTGGATGGCTTTCCATAGCCGGTTTCGCTGTACCTTCCTGAGAAAGGGACACTCACCAGGTGACACAGACAGAGCCACACTCAGCTGGGAGCAGCCCATGCTTCACCATTGAACAATAAAAGGTCATTCGGTTGTATCATTAAATCAGCTCTATCAGCGCAGCAAACGCTGTGATCGGGTCTGTTTGCATTGGTACTCCTGGCCAGGAGGGCAGGACTGTGGTCTTCTAGCAGGCCGGTCGTCAAACTGTCTTCATGTGTCCTGTCTTCCACCATCCCACCGTCCTGCCATCCAGGCAGTGCCCAGGGCCTGGAATAGCACCCAGGGGCAGGTGGCACAGGAGCATGGGCGGGCTGGCTCGGTGAGCGCCACAAGGCTCTGTGTGCTGATCACGGAGGGACTGACACCCAGGATTCGGAAGGAAGGGGCTATAGCAGGAGTGCATGGTTCATGGCTTGTTGGGGAGATAGCACATCCAAACTTTATGAAGTGGTGAATTTTGAGAAATTGTCCTGGTTAATGAGGTCTGACGTGGGGTTCTGGTAAGCCAAGGAGACGGATGTTAGGATGTGCCTGCCTGCAGAAGGGGGGTTGGAGTTGGTCCTTCAAGGTCTGGAATATGTGAGGGAGACGGAAAGGTAAGCTGGCAGCTGACAGGGCAAGGCAGGGAGAGACCAGCTCAGTGAGCAGGGCTGCAGATGGCGGCGGGGCCTCTGGGACATTTCCTGCTGCTCCAGCCTAGGCATCTGAGAGCAGACTCCTGTCACTTGCATCCAGCTTATATTTTTCCTCAGCAGCATGGCCTCTTTTCAGACCCCAGATGGGAGCTGCAGATTGTCGCTAGGAACTGCCCAGTCCCCCTCAGGACCGTGCCGCTGGTGTTCAGGTGCCTCCGCCGTTCCACGGAGTTCCAGTTTCCTGATTGCCTGGCCCCTGGAGGCTCCCCATGTGCTTACTTGGCCGTGATGATTGACCATGCTAGCCTCTCCTCAGAAAACCCCAGTGTCTTCCTGTTGCTTCTTCCCGGACGCATTTCATCTTCTCAGAGGTTTCCAAAGCTGCCACAGTCCTCCTCTGACCTCCATGAGAAGCGTCTTTATTTGAGATTAGTGTTGTCGTCTGTGAGGTCCTTTGGTTGTCCTCTCTGTTCAAGGTCATATGGCCCTTAGAGGCCACCGGAAGTTAATGCCGTGCTGGAGCTGGGTCCAGATCCCTGTCATCCCAGCTCCATCCCTGTTATTTGTATCCAAGCTGCTCTTCCTCCGATCTCTGACCCACCCATCTGTCTACATCTGTCCATATCCTCCAACCTCTAGAGTTTTCTTACATACTCAACAGTAAACAGTTACCAAGTCATTTATGTTAGACGTAGCAGACACTGGAGTGCAGTGATGAGCAGGCAGGTATTTTCCTGTCATTACTGAGCTTACAGTATGGTGGGAATGAGACAAAACCAGAAAAGGATGACTATATAATCCAAAATTGAGGTGAAGGCCGTGAAGGAAGGAAAATCCTAATAGCTAATACAAAAGAGACTTAAGGACTCCACATGGGTTGCTTCCTGGAGTCTCCACAAAACTGTGAAGTAAATGTTGCCTCCCTTATGTCTCGGATGGGAAGCGAAGCTTAGGCTGAGTGACTTGGCCGAGGTCCTCCACCTGCCACAGGAAGAGGTGCTGAGAGAATGACAGGACCTATGCTGTGTGGGGAGAGCAGCGAGGGCCGGTGAGGACGTGAACTGCGGGGTATTGTTTGAAGAGGACACCCAGATGTTGGCAAGCACAGAATGAGAGTCAGCAGTGAGGATATTGAGGAAGCTGCTGGATTTATCCAGAGGCGAGGTCACTGCTGGGCTGGACACAGCACGGGGCAGTGGACGGAGCAGTGATGGGAAAAGCAGGGAAGTGCAGAGCCTGGATATATTTAGGAGTGACATGAGCAGAAGCTAGTGTGCACACTTGTACAGGAAAGGCAAATATGGGTGTGGGGTGTGGCTCAGCCGCCATGCTTGCCTAGGCTCTGAGCTGCAATCCCAGCACTAACCAAAGGGCACTAACCAGAGGTGCAGCGAGGCCCGGGGGTGGAAGCCTGGCACCCCAGCATTGGGGAGGTGAAGGCAGGGCTGGAGTTCAAGGTCACATTAGCTACACTGAGAGTGTGAGGTCAGCCTGAGTTACACAAGAGCTTATGCCCCAAAACCAGGTAAATAAATAAATGGGGGGGGGGAAGCAAATGAGGAGAACACCCAAGGTTCTCTGACTAGGGAGGAAAGGAAGGGGGCAGAGGGTGTTGGGGATGTCTAGAGTTTGCACCTGGAGGAACCAGCTAGTTGCAGATCTGTTTTCTGAGCTGGGGAAAGAACTGGGCACAGCTGGGCACAGTGAACACGTTTTCTGGTTTAGACACTGTTAGGTATGAACTGCTGTAAGACATCCAAGTGCCAGCTCTGAACGTGGCTTTATGTCTGAGATCGGAACTCAGATGAAATCTGGGTCGTAGATAACAGGAAAGTCATAAGCACGTGTGGGAAAAAGCCAAGGGAAAGGAGGAACTACCCAGGCAGAAGCTGGATAGAAGAGGAGCCTGCGGGAGATCCAGAGACTTTTAATCACAGAATTCAGAAGGCAGTGATCCAAAAGAGGGAGGAACTGACCAGATGTGGTGGTGCACATCTATAGTCCTAGCAGTTGGGGGAGTTGAGGCAAAAGGATTGCTGAGAATTAAAATTTTTTCTTTTTTTCATTTATTGATTTGTGTCTGTGTGGGCTTGTGTATGACACAGCACATGTGTGGAGGTCAGAGGGTAACCTGCTGGAGTTGGTTCTGCTCTTCCACTGTGTGGTGTCTGAATTCAGGTTCAGCCGAATTGCTGTAGATTTGAGGCCATATTGTGAGTTCAAGGCAAAGCATTTGACAAAGCCCGAGATCTGAGTTTGGTCCCTGGAACCTGTGTGTATTACTCTTCTGTCGCTGTGATGAAACTCCATGACCAAAAGTGATTTACGGAAGGAGGAGTTTATTTTGGCTTTGGTTCTGGAGGGAGAGTCCATCATGGCGGGGGAGGCAGGACAGCCGGAGCAGGAAGCTGAGTTCACGTCTTGAACCACAGGTCTGAAGCAGAGAGTGAACTGAACGTATGTGAGGCTCATGAATCCTGCCCCAGTGGCATGCTTCCTCCAGCAAGGCTGCACCACCCACACCTCCCCAAGCAGCGCCACCCACCGAGGACCACGTGTTCCATGTTCTTGGAGGACATGTCTCATTTGAACCACCGTAGCATATGAACATGGAAATAGAGTCATCTCCACGAAGTTGTCCTCTGACCTCTACTCAGGCACTGTGGCCCGTGCTTACCCACTAACCCTCACAAAATAATAAGCCAAAAACAAAATGAAAAAGAAGGGAGGGGTCGATTTTCTTGAGACATGTAAAGTGGCTACCAAAGGATGCCACTGGGTTGAGCAGCGGGGGGTCCCTGATGAGCATGGTGAAGATGGATGGGGTGAAGACAGCCTTGAGCCTGCACGGAACACACATGCTTATGTAGATCCTCATGGCTCAGACACTCCTAGTCTGTTGTCCCTTCTCCCTGCGGGGTTCAGTCCTCAAGGTATCATGCTTGTTTGTGCCATTCTTTAGCATAATTTTGGTGTTACACATATGCATCTTAGTGCTTTGTATTGACTCTGTGAAGTCAGAGCTAAAATGCAGAGGACCAGGACCTAGGCATGAAGTGCTCCGCCAGGGTGACAGTGGCCCCGGGCAGGACGGTGGGAGTAAGTACAGCCTAGGCCATGCGGGAGGTCACTGCAACTGCTCCCCTGAGTCTCTGGATACCCCAAGTTCAGAGACTTGGCTTGTGTAGATCTCCCACGGAACCATCCCAGTGTTATCTGGGTGTATTTGAACACATGAGGCCCCCTGGTTTGGTTCATTAAGGTCAGTGCCCTTAATCCCTGGTGAGCCTAACCTTGTTCTTCTTTTTCTCTCTTAAAACTCTTTCTCACTTGGGACTTTCTCTTTCCCTTGTCCACCCACTCCTAGTGACTTGATTTCTGAGAGTGATAGACTTACCTGGCTGCTAAGTGACTCTCTGTGATGGGGTGAGAAGTGACCAGTGTGCCGTGGGGAACTCTCCGAACACTGATGCCTGCTGCATGTGCAGTTTTGAGGCAGCCTCTTACAGCATCCCTTCCCAGGTGCCTTCAGCTGAGAGACTTAGCCTGTCACTCAGCGTGTTGGCTCCACAGCCTCAGCCACCCATAACTACAGCCCCAGTTTATTGTGACTGTTATTGTCCCGTGGGTTCATGGTAGGTTCTTCCAGGACCCTACAAAGCATCATGCTGCCCAGGCCCCTTATCTGCTCTCCATTGGGCGTTCATTTCTGTTGGCACACAGCTCTCTGACTCTTACGATTTGTTCTTTCCTTTTTCTGTGACCACTTGTTCAGCACTCTTGGTATATATTTTTTCCATCTGTCCATCCGTCTGTCCATCCATCCATCTGTCCGTCCGTCATAACTTGGCTACAGTGGCACTAGAGAGATGGTTCAGCATTAAGAGCACTTACTGCTTTTGCAGAAGACCTGGGTTTGGTTCCAGCTCCCACATGGGGGTTCACAGCTGCCTGTAACTCTAGTTCCAGGGGATTGGATGTCCTCTTCTGGCTGCCTTAGACTTCTGCACACATGTGATACACACACACACACACACACACACACACACACACACACACACAAACTCACACACACACATACGCACATACATATACATAAAATAAATTAATACCTTGGCTGGTGTTCTGTCGAAAAGATAATACATGGGATAGGTGGGACCAGTGATACATTCCTGTAATCCCAGCTACCTAGGAAGCTTCAGCAGGAGGATCACAAGTTTGAGGCTAGCCTGAGCAACTTAGCAAAATCCTATCTCAGAATAAGAATTTGAAAGTGCTATGGATGTCACTTAGTGGCTCTGGGTTTATTCCATTAAAAAAAAAAAGAATATGTATGCTTCTGTTTAGGAATTGTTTTTATGTTTTTGTTTGATTTTTGAGTCAGGAGTTTCACTGTATTGCCCAGGCTGGTCATAAACCCCTGGGCTCAAACTGTCTGC